TTCAGTCACTGTCTCCGTTCTTTGGAATTCTCCCAAAATACCGTCACCTTGTGCCTTCTCATCCTGTTTTCACAATTCTCCTGAAAAACTCTCTCTGACTGTGGGTTTGGTTGACATCCTCAAATCCTCCACCTTTCCAATCTTGCACTGTCTCCGTAAAGGAATTTGAGACATTATTCTATGTGAAAGGCTACATAAGTGCAAGTTCTTGTCTGTAGCCATGAATCAGTCATCGGAAATATGTTCTCTACTTATCAGTATTGATACATAATGCCTCCTCATGTATCAGCATGGATTGACGACTTATTTTCTTTCAATGTCAAGTTCTGCAGAATAGCAAAAACTGACATTCACTGCATTGATTTTCTATCCAACAACAACAATTTGGATTTATATAGCGCCCTCCACGCTGGATGGCGTCTCAGAGCGCTTCACAGTAACGGATCCCGGGGCCGAGCCAGGGGGAGGGGGAGGAAGGTGACCAAAGGCGCGGTCGAAGAGAAAGGTCTTCAGCCGAGACCTAAAAATAGGAAGAGAGGGGGCGAGGCGAAGCGAGAGAGAGGAAGGGAGTTCCAGAGCCTCGGGGCGTAGTGGCTGAAGGCACGGCCGCCGAGGGTGGAGCGGAGGACTCGGGGGACAAGGAGGAGGCCAGACCTGGTGGAATGAAGGCAACGGCACTGTTGTGAGGAGAGAGGAAGTCAGAGGTAGGGGGGTGCAGAGGTGCATTTAATTCAGGCCTGTTCTGAGTGTGACTTGTAGATGCAAATGAGTATTCCACACAGGAATTTGGGACTTACAGCCTGGGTGAAAATACAGTCATTGAATCTATTGAGCTATGGAATGTGAACAATTATCTGCACTATTTCATTTGACTGTCCTCTAGACACGGTGTCCTCTTCTGCACCAAGTTTACAACCCTATCATCTACATTCACATTTGATTCTGCTGGATCTCTGCTTATCGGTCTGTGAATGTCTGCGTCCCTACTGCCCCGGCCATTCCATTCACTCAGCAGACACTTGCATGGTGCATGTTCCCGGTCTGTTTCATCCACTAATGGTGGGCAATCTTTCAGCCACTCTGCCCCTGCTCTCATTTTGCTTCTTAAGTGCTCTGACACGCTGCCCTGATGGAAGGGTGTTATATGAATGCTAGTTGTTGTTTTTTCCTTCCCTGCTTTCAAAACCTACCTTAAAAACTATTTTGTCAATCTCACTTTTGTCTATCTTCCCCCCTGCAGGGTTCTATCCAACTTCGGTACCCAGGCAGTTGCATGACACCTTAAGACCCCCTGACTCATTTGATAGTCCAGTCAAATCTCAGTCATAGGGTGTGGATTCAGGTCCCAGATTGGGACTTTGAACTCATACATTCTAAGCTAACACTTCAGTCCTTTGCTAGTGTTTTGCTGCCTTGTTTGAGGTGCTGTCCGTTAGAGAGTTTCTTTTCCTCGGTGTCCTGGCCAGTAATCTCCCAGATAAAATTGATTATTCACTTCATGACTATTTGTGGGACATTTCTTTGCTCAAATTGGCTGCTGTATTTGCCTATAAAATACACAATCATTGCACATCACAGTAAACTCCATGAAGCACTTTGAAACATCCTCCCAGAGTGAAAGGCTTTATATCAAATGCAAGGATTATTATTATTATAATTTCAGTTGCGTATTGGCTCTAGGGCCATCGCAATTGGTCTCAGAATCCTGGGCTATAGAGGGGAAAACTGTCCAAGGATCTTGTTGCTGATTGTTATCAGGTGGAAAATGAGTATATATAATATGGATAATAATAATCCTTGCATTTGATATAACACTTATCACATTGCTGAGATGTCTCAAAGCACTTCAGAGGATTTTACTGTACAGTGAATCCACTGTGTATTTTGTAAGCGAATAAGGCAGCTGATTTCCTACGAAGATTGATGAGGTGAATGATCAATTTTATCTGGGGAGGGGGGTTATTGGCCAGGACACTGGGAGAAATTCTCATCTCTTTTGAATAGTGTTATGGGATCTTTAATGTCCACCTAAACTGATAGACGGGACTTTGGTTTAGCATCCAAAGGGTGACACTTCCAACAATGCAATACTCCCGCAGCACTGCACTGAAGTACCAGTCGAGACTGTGAGCTCAAAGTCCTGACATAGGGCTTGAACCCACAACCTTCTGAATCAATGTCGAGAGTACTATCAACTGAGCCAGGCTGATACTTACCCCAATGAAGACAAGATTGGGCTCAGCCGTGATGTACCCTGCAGTTAACAGCCTTCTGACAACGGAGCTATGGAACTTGGTGAGGTAGGGGAGTGTTACTGACAACTGTGGAATTATAGCCTCGATAGAGGGAGAGTGGAAAAGAAGAGTCAGAATCTCCGAAGGAGAGGTGGAAGGGGAGGGGATATTGAAAAGAAAAATGCTGTATTTTGGTGTGATTTATTTTATCACTTAATCTGCTTCCTCCTTTCATTGTTTTGTGAATACTTCCATAAAAGATGGTACTCCATTGATCGTTCACACAAAAAATCGAAAATCTATTCCATTTAAACATCATGGGCGATTGCTTGCCTTTCTATTTTTATATGCTGGTTAAATTTTTATATACATTAATCGCAGCAGCAACTGCCAAAAACCTTCAAATGGCAAAAAATGGTTGAAATAATTTTCACATTTTACATTGCACAAAAAAATTGGACCCTTGATGTCGGTCAAAACAGTATAATTGTATACTTTGGGGTAAAATCTTAGTTCTTGCTTGTTGACTGTTCACCTTTGGTGCTTTGCAATTTTTTCTCACAATTTATAGAGTTTGTCTTCAGATACGATAGACACTTCACTTTGCAGGGAAATCATGTGAAGCAGTTTGAGTTGCTTCAACAACACAATAATGCACTATATCAAATGCAAGATCATTTTTATTATTATTATTATAATGTTATTGCAGTTTAAATCACTTTGTAGAGGTAGTTTCTAAGTGGTTTTCAGTGATGCGTCAGCCAGAACAAAAATACCGTCACGCTACATATGAATGTATGTAACTTTTCTTAGTATGTTTGAACTACTTTTTGCAGGAGTTTGATATTTTGTTCACCAGATATTTTGTGAATCCATTTCTGAATAGTAGTATTAACAGTCCCAGTTGCACTGTTGATTATAGGAACTATATTTTATGCTGCCACATACATCCGTATTCAATTTGTAAATCAATATATTTTCTAGTCTTTAGTTCTTTATTTCTTACATTGCAATCACTTGGGATCGCCACATCAATAATACTACGTGTACAATCTAGTTGTTTTTTATGATAATACTTGGTTTGTTACTGGTGTTCTATCTGTATGCACTTGTGAGTCTCAGATTATTGTGATGTTATTTTTGTTGTCACTTTTGCTGGTTGATGTTTGTATCAATTGGTTTTTACATCAATGTCAAAGTGTTTACAAATTGTTTAGTGAAGATATTTCTATGTTGTTATGTTCAATCCGATACTTTGATTGTGCTAGGGCTGAACATAATGACAATATATGGTCTACTGTTTCTGGCGTATATTTTATGAATACTGTATTTTCAAATGAGATAAAGTCTCAGAGAACAGAGGAAAGAGGTGCTAAATATGACAGTTGAAGATAGACAACAAATACCAAAAATAACTAAGAATACAGCTGCAAAGAAAAACATTCAGATAGCCCATGTGGAAATCTGATACATTAAATTGGCAGGAATTGAACATAGAAAAAGGTAATGCCCTACTATTTGCATCAGTGATCATATTGGTAGAAAAACAAGGCAGTAAGATCAAAGAAAAAATTAAGAAATAACTGAAAGAACCTGAATGGAAAACAAATATTCAGAAACAGATTAATGATTACAGAAGTGATCTCTCCATCCTGACTGAAATATGCAATTATTATAATTATCAAAATTAAACCAAAAACAATAATAAATTAGTCATTTTCAATCTACGACTGTTTGTGGGACATTGCTGTGCGCAATTGGCTGCCGCGTTCGCCCACAAATATACAGTCAATTCACTTTACAGTGTGTTCTGTGAAGCGCTTTGGGACGTCCTCCCGACGTGAAAAGCGCTATATCAAATGCAAGGATTATTATTATTATTATTATTATTATTATCATCACAGACAATTTACAGCATAGAGCCTTTAGTCTATCAGTCCTGTGCCACTGGAGCTATCTGTTTTAATCATATTCCCCTGCTATTTCCCTGTATCCTTTAATATTTTTCATTATGTATTTACTCAGTTCCCTCTTAAATGCTGTTTTAAACTTGATCTCAACAGCCATTAGTGGTGATGAATCCCACGATCTAACAATTTTCTGTGTAAAAAAACGTTTCTTCTATCCTTGCCCATTCTTCTTCCAACAGTAATCGTTATTATCAGTGTCCTATTGTTTGCCATATGTATAATAATATTATATGTATAAGTGTTTAGCACAAGGGAAAGGTAAATGAGAAGGTGAATTTTTTTGTATCAGGTCAGTCATCCATTCATTCCTTTGTTTTCTTTCATTTTACAGACTAGCCTGAAAAATGGATTCTGTTGTGTCTTGAACAGTATTTGTCTTGAAACCTCTAAAACAGAATACTGGAATAGTCCTGTTTCTTCATTAGCTAAATTTTAGTCTTTATAGTTTCAGCCTTTGAATGGCACTCTTGGCTTTGGTTTCCAGTCTGAGTAACTCAATATTATATAAAATTTGTAACTATTAACTTGAAAGCCAACAAACCTCGGTTATTCAATTCGAACAGTTTGATTTGGTTACTAGTCTGCAATCCCATGCAATATAAAAATGCAAATGCTATTGTTTATCTTCAGGGGATGGAGGAAAGAGTCACCTTACTGAGGATTTCTGTTTATATGGTAGTAACTTGTACAGTGTGGACATTTTTTATTCTGTCACTAATCAGACATTTGGCAGCAAATAAAGAAATGATCCAGTTGATCGCCTGCTGATTTATTGCTGTTTTCTTTCATCTAACAGGGAGACCTGATCCTATCCCAATTCTCATCAAGCATGATGGAATGGGTATGGGTAGGATGGAAATTGAGGTATGGTTCATAAAATGCATTTTTTTTACACAATTGTAACTTTTTTTTACCAATCTAATGGGCTGAAATTCTGATTGGTGATGTTGCACGCCTTTGTTGTTATTGCACACTAATAGGCGTTCCCCATTATAAATGTGCAGTACCAAAGGCTTAAGACCAACCAGAATGTCAACCAACAGCTAAAGTAGAAATACATATTGTACTGATTATTTTGTGTTGAATTCTCTGGATTGATTTATTTGCGGTGTTTTATTTATTTGTGGAGACATTGATGTGTATTTCAAATTTTGCTCAGACATATATATATAAACTGAATAAACCTGTTTATCTTTAACTACTGTACACCAAGATATTTGAAGCCATGCTATCACCTTTGTAAGTAGTTGGGAAAGAGCTTTCTTTGTTTATCGACATATTTGCTAAAATGTGAGACAGTCACAAAAGTATTGTCTCACTTACACTTGATTTCTTCATGAGACAGATTATGCTGAGCTCTTTCATAGACCACTTCCACTGTATCAGTTGGCAAAATTCTGAATAACTGACACAAACCCTTAATTATAACTGCAGTTGTAGGATATCAATACCTTATTTAGAGCTCAGTGAGGAATCTCGCACCACATGGTTTCCTGCCAACTGAAGTATAAGTATTGCAAGGACAAGGCAAGCTTTTACATTGAATATTCTGAGTAAGTGAACTGCTCATAGGACTGTCAACTTTTCGATAATGTTGAAAAATAACCAACATTAGGGCACTGGTTTAGGGGAAATTGTGAGGCAGAGAAAAGAATATACTCTGATCACTGTCCAGAATGAGTCACCATTTGGGCTCAGCTGTGATGCTATGAGAGCTGAAAACTTGTGTGTCTACGCTCACAGAATGTAGAATGATCATTTCGGCAAGTAGTGGAAGTCCATTGAACCATACTGTAGCACCTACTAAAATAAAATAAAATAAAATAAAATAGGAATGGTCCACAACCTCTTGGTTTTAAGTTATTTTATCTGTCATATTCTCTCTTGTATCCTCCCTCCCACTCAATAATTATACTACACATTTTGTGGTGAATCATGGTGACATTGACAGAAAATTATTGTATAGTACTAATTTGGGGTTCAGTATAAATTGTGTCGGACCCGCTTTGAGGAGCAATACTATTTATGTCTGCTCCTGTATAAACATGACAAGTTTGAACTGGGCTGGGCTTGCTTCTCCTCAGTGGTGCATTGAACTGCCCAGGAATTTTGACACAGACTGCTTTAAATTACTTCTAAGAAATTAAAAAGTAATTCCTTCAACGTTAGAAGGTTGGCTGACAGCACTTCATACAGTTGACTGGACATCCGAGCTGGGTGAAAAGACCTGGGGAGGGAGGGGGAAGATGACTGAAAGCACAACTGTAGAGATATACCTTAAGTAAGGGTGAGGTGGAGAAAAGAGAGGGGGTAAAGTAGAAGAACTCAGCAATCTTTTAAATAACATTACAAGCCAACATTACCAACAACATTACCCGTGCTCAGAACTGTAACATTGTTTTTTATGGCTCCAATGTGATAGAAGGTCGATCGAGAAGCACAATTTAGATCTCTGCTTCCTGCTCCATATCTCTTGTTACTGGGAGCGCAGCAACTTCACTGCCAGCAGTATAACCGCACAATTATACCTTGGCTTGACTGTAGCTTCCCAGTGCTCTGTGACCAGATGGCAAAGATGCTGTGATAGTAAATGGTAACCAATTCTCCTCTCTCTTCCATTGGTAGGCAGCTTGTCCCTGTTCAGTACTGTGACAATGGGCGAGCTGACAAGCATAGCTGAAGCTTTAGTGCAGATGTCAACCGAGGCTAGGGTTTAAGTCTGAACCTTGTGGCCCTCACAGCGCAATAATGAACTGCACTGCCTGCCAGTAAATTCTCATTAGATGGATATAAAACTGTTAAACCATTGAAAACATCAACTTTGTAGCAGACATGTTTAAGCGCTTGGGCAAGTGACAATATACTGACCCTGTTTGACATAATCTTAATGTGGCTGCAGGAAAGCAGAGCTGTGCTTTTATTGCTACAGGAATTTCTGATAACTTCAGTAATGCTGGCGGTCAGATGAACACTGGCTGTCAGTTAAAAGCGAGCTGATCGGCATACTTGGTAACTTAAACACCAAATGATGCTGTAGAAATCCATCCAGAGGTGATATATCTGATTGTTACTGGAAAAGTGACAATCAAGTGGGGTGACTGTGGATAATTATTTGGGGAGGACAAGTTTGCAGAGCTATGGGGAGAGCACGGGGGAGCGGGATTGATTTGGATAGCTCTTTTAAAAGAGCCGGCACAGACACGATGGGCCGAATGGCTTCCTTCTGTGCTGTGTAATTCTATGAAGTACATTTGCCAATAGTGAGCAAATGGTGGCATAAATCCCTCAATAACAAATTGACTTTACTGATTTGAACAACCCCCAGTTTTTTCTGCCTGCCTCTTGTTAAGGTGTTCACTATTCCTAGGCTATGATTCCACCAGTTCTGCTAGTTGTCCCTACCACATAACCTCCCTTGACAAGTTGGCATTCTAAATGTGCAAGTCTTTCAGAAGGTCTTCCAAAAGACTTATTGGAAGACAATGAACATTGGTTATTAGACTGTCTCTTGTGGGACAGAGTATCAAAGGTCTTCTGGAAGTCTGCATAGACTCACAGCATAGCCTGAGCCAGCCCTATTTGCACACAATAATAATCGTAATAATAAATATCCTTGCATTTGGTATAGTACCTATCACATCAGAAAGATGTTGAAAAGAGCTTCACAGGATTTACTGTGAAGTGTAGTCACTATTTTGTAGGTGAATGCAGCAGACTTATGGTGCTTGAAAGTATTGTCTTCCCTTCAACTACTCCTGTGCCAGTGCTCAAAACAATGGCAACTTTCAGGCAGGTGTAAAAAAGCCCACTCTGAACAAGGACACTCAAAATGGGCAGCTTGTAGGGAAGTGTCAGCCTGCATGCAACATTGCTTCTGGCAACATCAAAAAGATATAGGATATAAGATGAGATTTTTTTGAGCTTCTCTCTTTATTGAATAGCGCTTTTCAAAAACCTCTTTAAAACCAATCTCTTCAACTGCGTGTTTGATCAATATCCTTAAATCTCCAATTTCCCTGCTTATTGGCCTAAATATCCAATTGTAGCAAAGAAAATGACAGTGAGACACTATTATGTTACCAGCCAGGGAGCTAGTAGCAAACTTTCCCTGTTTTCACTTTGGTATGTATTTGATAATTTTTATTAGCTATAGTACTTTTACGGGAGTACTCATTAAAGTATATGACCACCTTGTAAAATTGAGCATATCATATTTATAATATCCCAGCATCCGTATTTAATTTCTATTCTTGAAGTAATTAAATTAATTGTTTTCTTGCTTTTTGGAACAGTCTCATAAATAGCTATGCATGTAGAGCTCACAGTCGGTTTATGAGACTATTTATTCATGTCTTCATTGACGCTTTGCCTTCATTCATGCTGTCAACATCTTTGCAGGAATTGGGAGGATGAAGAAGTTGTCATTCAAATCGCATTCAAGGAGGAAACAACCTTCCCCCCAAAGATGTGAGGTTCAGTAACTAAGTTTTATACTGTGCTGCAGATTATCGGAAGACCATTTGGATGCCATTGCTTTATCATAGGTCACCCCAGGGTGTACATACAAATTAGAGAATGTTTAGCAACAGATGAGGGCACATTGCCAATCACACAAGACAGCTACTGGCCCTTTAACCCCCTCCCCATTCCCCTCACCAGACTCCCACAACGTGCTCAAAAAGGATGATTACCACTCACTTTGGGTTATTGAAAACACTCATGCCATCTTGCCCTCTAGTGACATTTGAATTCATATGAACATGTCTACAATGTACACAATTATGCGAAAGCAAATTGGCTCTCGCATTAATCTGTTCACTATACTGAGGTGAAACCAGCAAGCTACCTCATTGCAGTTCCAGGATATTTCCACTCGGAGCTCCCTTGAGTCCTGTGAAAATATTTTGTGGGGAATCAAGGGCTATCATCAATTATTCTGTGGTTGAGGTAGCCTTTGATCCCTCGGAAAAATCCCTCCAGTAAAGGGATCTCCCGAAGCAGCCAATGCTCTGTGTATTTGACAAATAGGATGTTTGTATACTTTTGTAATATAAGGGTGTGCTGAATATCATACATACTTTTGAAGTATATATGATACTTCACGTATCATATATACTTCACGTATCATATATACTTCACGTATCATACATACTTCACGTGTCATATATGTGAAGCGGGCTCTGGCCTCCTTCGCTCCACTATTGGCAGGCAGGCCTTCCACCACTGTGCACCCACCCTCTGGAACTCCATCCCACAGTCCCTCCATCTCGCCCTCTCCCTTGCCACCTTCAAGACTCATCTCAAGACCCTCCTCTTCGACGGTGCTATCGATCTCCCTGTTTCCCTCCCCTGCCCTCCCCCACCCCGACCCTCAGCTCGGGTCTGTAACTCTGTCCAGCGCCTTGGGCCGTCTTCCCGACGTGAAAGGCACTATACAAATGTGATTTTGTTGTTGTTTTTGTTTTATCACTGTATTACTTGTTGAATGTATTTTTAAATCGTAAGCAGAACTACAGGAGCATTACCAGCATTGCAAAGAAACATTTATAATATTTTCCTTTCTTCAAGAATAGGACAATATAAATGTACACTGAGGTACACTTTGACGTGATGACAATGCGAATCATTCATCCTTCTGCAGAGTTCCTCCCTGACACTATTTTAGGTGAATAAATAATTGACTTAGGACATTTATCTGATTCTTGGAATATTTCTAATTTCTAATGCAACAACAACAAATGACAATTGTATGGCGCCTTTCGTGACGGGAGGACGTCCCAAGATGCTGGACAGTCATGGATTTGGACCCGAGCTTGGGGGTTGGGATCAAGGAGGGTGGAGGGTAGGAAGGAGGGTGACTGAAG